TTGCCACAATGTCTTCTCCACTGGACACTGCAAATGGTTCTGGATTCAGGAGCTAGACTCTTGATGGTGGATGCCCAAAGAGATCATATTATACCTGTAGATCGTTCAATGATCTCCAGTGGCTGCTTTCCGGAACCTTTGGATCCACCACAAAACTGAAGATCTTCTTGCTGCCTTTTCAGCACCCTGCTCTGATAACAGGCCTTTTTCTTGTGGCTCGTAGAATGGAAATAGGGACCACTGGGCTGAGCTTCTTCTTCACCAGCAGAGACACCAGCAGAGAAGCTTCTCCAATAAAAACACTTGGCAAGTGGCAACATTCAGAAAGGAAAAACCCAGATGGCAAAAGCCAGAATTAAAACTGCCCTCGCAAACTATAAATAATCATGGAATCCATGGTTCTCATGAGATCATGGCAAGTATTTCTATTTAGATACATGACCTTGGCACACTGGATTTCCTGAAAAATGAAGGACCAGCTGGGGTTAATGGCCTACAGCTATGCCTAAGGCCATCAAGTCTCCCAGTCAGTCATTAATCCCCAGGATGTACTCTGGGCCTTGATCATTTCTTCTTAATTAAGGCCTTAGATCCTCAGGATCCTTCCATTGTGCCAGGAGACCCTTTATTTACTTCAAGGAATGTGTTTTATGTAACCTCAGCTTCCTCCCAACTTTTCCCTCTAAAGATATTTGACATGACACGTTCCAATTTCCTTTCTAATGGCCAATGTTTAATATGGCTTACACACAATTATTTTTCCCCCCTTTAATCTTTGGCACAGACCCCTTTACTCCAAAAACTGGGGGGGGGGGAGGCAGAGGGAGGATTAATCCATTTTATTTTTTTTGTCCCATGAGAAAATATAACTGTCATTTCTGCATGAAGGATATTGAATCTAAAGTAAATTACTAGCCAGGTTTTAAAAGCTTCCATCTTTAAAGCAAATAAATCCCAAATTAAATACATCTAAATGAGAAGGGGAGGGAACCAGAAAACATTTAGTAAGGATAAACAGATACGGCATGAGGAAAGAACTAAAAATGAGAGATGCAGTAACAGAATCCACTTCTTCTTTCCAGGTCTTAGCATTCATTTTTCATTTACTCTTGGGGGTCATTGTGTTTTTACTAATTCTGGTTCATAAAATAAGTCTTAATTATAATTTAAAGTAATAGCAAAAACAAGCAAAAGACCTCATTACAGTAAAGTTGCATTGCTCTGAAAATATGCTTAATTTTAAACTAGAGGGGTGTGTGTGTCCTGCATAGACCTTTTGCTTCTCATTTCAGAGCCTTTGTCTATTATCTTTGACAATTCTTGGAGAACAGGTGAGGTCCCCATAGACTGGAGGGGCAGGGATCCCCTAACAACTTTTAGCACCCTTAACAAACTGCGGATCCCAGGATTTTTGGCAGGGTGGGGATGCCATGCCTGTTGGAGTGTCGCAACAATCATTTAAATGTACAGTGCTTTGTACCCATAGTGTGTAATGTGAATTTTGGGTGTATGAGTAACACCAAAGGATCAGAAGACTTCTGAGAGTTCATAATCAGGAGCTTGAGGCAACCTGGATCTACAAGATTATGAAAGACTCGAATCCTAAAAGGACTTTTTTTGGAACATCCCTAAATGCATCAATTAATTAATCCCTAAATGCTATTCACTGACCTATGCCAACTCCCATTCATTACTTTGAAGAGCTTTTAATATATTTTTATTCTTTTCATTCTGCTGTACTAGTGTTTATTTAGCTCCTTTTAGTTTTTTATTCTTCTATCACAGTCATTTTAATTCATTGTAGCTCACTAGCTTGAGCTCTATTGAAGAAAGGGCAAGGTATTAATGTTTAAAACAAATGCATATATAATAGCTCCCGAAGAAGGGATGTAAAGGTGTTCCCTCCATTTTATTATTCCTTTTGTTTTCATTATTTAAAACTTCATTTCTTTCATTCACTGAAATCACATTCATTTCATTAGTCATTTGTTTTTGCAATTCATGTTCCTGAGTCCTCCCTATTATTTTTCCAATAAAACCCTGCTTTTAAAAATATGCTCCCTCTTTCTGTGTGTAAGGGAGATTTCAGTACTTTTCCCCTGGCAGCCACCATTTTATTTCTCCAGAATGGTCTACCCATTTTGTCTTCCAGCGTATCCTTTGGTGATGGTGTCGAGGATGAAATGATAGCTGCCTTTTTTTGGCCCCTGGCAGCCTTCATTGGCAATTTCCAGTCACTCCACCCAGAACGTTCCAGAATGATACCACACCAGGGCATGGAAATCAGACCAGTAAGCTAGAGAAACAGAACACCTGCCTCTTGCAGTGGGCGGAAAGGGGATTACAAAAATTATTCCCATCCTTTTTTTTACCCTCATTACTCACAACGTTCTTTGGCCACCAAGACCATTTAACACCGGTCTTGAAAGACATACACTGGCTCCCAATACGTTTCCGAGCACAATTCAAAGTGTTGGTGCTGACCTTTAAAGCCCTAAAGGCCTCGGTCCAGTATACCTGAAGGAGCGTCTCCACCTCCATCGTTCTGCCCGGACACGGAGGTCCAGCTCTGAGGGCCTTCTGGTGGTTCCCTCGCTGCGAGAAGCCAAGTTACAGGGAACCAGGCAGAAGGCCTTCTCGGTAGTGGCACCTGCCCTGTGGAACGCCCTCCCATCAGATGTCAAAGAGAACAGCAACTACCAGACTTTTAGAAGACATCTGAAGGCAGCCCTGTTTAGGGAAGCTTTTAATGTTTAATAGGTTATTGTATTTTAGTGTTTTATTGGAAGCCGCCCAGAGCAGCTGGGGAAACCCAGCCAGATGGGTGGGTATAAATAATAATATATTATTATTATTATTATTATTATTATTATTATTGAAAATTAGGACGTGGGTGGCACTGTGGTCTAAACCACTGAGCCTAGGGCTTGCCTATTGGAAGGTAGGCGGTTTGAATCCCCACGACGGTGCGAGTTCCCGTTGCTCGGTCCCAGCTCCTGCCCACCTAGCAGTTCGAAAGCACATCAAAGGGCAAGTAGATAAATAGGTACCGCTCCGGCGGGAAGGTAAACGGCATTTCCATGCGCTGCTCTGGTTTCGCCAGAAGCGGCTTAGTCATGTTGGCCACATGACCCAGAAAAACTGTCTGCAGACAAATGTCGGCTGCCTTGGCCTGTAGAGTGAGATGAGCGCACAACCCCAGAGTCGTTCGCGACTGGACTTAACTGTCAGGACCCCCCCTTTTAACTCATTAATTTAGCTATGATGAAAGGAGCAGGCCCATATGTGAAAGACATGTGCTTTTCTGTAATGAAGTAACTATCTATCACCACATAAGCCTTATTCACCCGTTTTACTGAAGGAGGGTGGTCTTAAAGAGGGGAGAGGGCATGCACACTACCCCCACCTCCAACATCCTTGCATGTCCTGGCTCTATGTTTGGCATATGCATGTTGAGTGTGAAGTTCAGAAGGGAAACTCTCCCTGTGTTCAAGTAAATGTACAGATAACCCTCACTGGGACTTGGAACCCTGCAGAATGATGCATTATCGGGGTTCCCAATGGCAGGGTGCATCCAGACATGTCTATTTAGACCAGGGTTTCTCAAACTTGGGACTCCAGCTGTTTTGGGACTACAATTCCCACCATCCTTGACCACTGGCCCTGCTAGATAGGGATGACGGGATCTGTAGTCCAAAAATGGCTGGAGACCCAAGTTTGGGGAACCTTGATTTAGACCAAGGGTGGCCAACTCCCAAGAGACTGAGATCTACTTACAGAATTAAAAACTGGCAGGGATCTACCCCCGTCAAAGTTGCTGAGCTTTTTTAAGGGAGGAGGAAAGCCCCGTTTGGGGGCAGAAAAAGGAGCAGCCACTCACCAACAGATCGCTGGGGGAACAAACAGCCTTACTGAGTAAACTACCATATTTTTTGCTCTATAAAACTCACTTTTTCCCTCCTAAAAAGTAAGGGGAAATGTGTGTGCGTCTTATGGAGTGAATGCAGGCTGCGCAGCTATCCTAGAAGCCAAAACAGCAAGAGGGATCGCTGCTTTCACTGCGCAGCGATCCCTCTTGCTGTTCTGGCTTTGGAGATTCAGAATATATACTTCTTCCGTTCTGCAGAGCATGCAACAATGGAGGGTGGGGTGAGGTTGCCAGGGCCAGATTCTATTTTATCCAGCAATTGACCGCGATCTACCAAAACCTGGGGATCTACCAGTACATCGCGATTGACCTGTTGGACATCCCTGATTTAGACCTTTATGCTCAATCTGAATGGCTGTAGCTCAGTGGCAGCATTCCCAGCTAGGATGGAAAAGACTCACTGTTTAAAAAGCTGGGGAGCTGCTACCAGCAAGTATGGACCATACGGAGCTACATGGATCAATGTCCAACTTGTTATCAGGCAGTTTCCTAAGTTCTTAGCACATGGAGATTGGAAATGTGGGGGGGCATTAGGGGTTGAGCTTGCATGTTTGCCCCTCCTCACATTATGCGCCCCAGCTTGCTCACCCAAATACATGCGTAGGGCTAATAGTCTCCCTGTATACCTGGTGCATCACAAACCTATTTCCAAAATGTTCATATTTTCATGTCTGCTTATCTCTAGGGCCTCTTATTCCCCCCCTTCCTTCATATGCATTGAGCCCAGAACGAAGTGCTGACCTCAGCTTTGTATTCTCTATCTATTATCACATTATGCCACAACCTCAGTATTATTTAAATGCTGGAGTTTTGCTGGAGATCTTAAGGAGTCTCACAATAGCAAAGTGTCACACAATTTCATAGAGAATGACTACAGGTAAACAGCATATAAGCAGGAACATTGGCCACTAGTAGAATAACTCCCTTGCCTGCATTTCCAATTATATTCCTTTCTGGTAAACAGCAGACAATGACATTTCAACAGTTCAAGGCAGTAACCACAGAAGATTACCTAAGAAAATGAAAGAATCTTTTTTTAAAAAAGCAATGGGGATTTTTTTCTTTTCTTTTTGTAGATTAAAAAGCATATTATTGCCATTAACCTGGGTTAAAAGCTGGGCTTGGATACAAAAAAACTCTTTTTGCTAATCATGTTACAGATTAAAGAATTCATTCTCTAAGTGCTCCAACTTTGAATCTTCCAGCGAGGACAAACTTTGAACCTTGTTTAATGATGCTGGGGGAGACTTTCTTCTCTTGAACTACTGCTAAAAGACTTTAAAAATAAATAAATATTTTTTTGGGAAAAAAAGAAAAAGGAAAATAATGTTATTTCAGCAATGAAGCACTTTAAGAGACTGACTGAAACCACAATGTATTAAAAGTATAAGTCGGGCTTGGCAGAAGTGAACTAAATAAATAGTGATGCTAAGCGACATATCTAACAATGTAGCCTCAGTGTCTTGTCATTAGCACAATTATGTCAGTACAGTCAATCAGCACATTGCCTTGACTTTAAAAGAAGAATCTGAATGCATGCTTTTAAAGTTGGAGGCAGGGAAGCAGCGGAACGGAGGGATCATCACATTAAAACAGCAAAGTGACTTCATAGCTATTCACAGCTCCTCTTTGCTTTTCTTTAAACAACCCACAAGGTTATACCTTTTTCAAGTGCTTTGTTATCAGAGTATTGTTGAAAAATTATTCTTATAGTTTCAATACCATCTGAAATAGGCTTAGGAGGAAACCCAAAGAGTGGCGGAAGGGGTGGGGGAAGGACTGGAGGCAAACATTCCTTTCACAAATGAGAAAAAAGTGATAATGAAGGGCATCCAATTGTGATCTTCAAGCAGAGATAAACAACACACACACACACACACACACACACACACACACACAGAGTCTTTACAGACCTAAGCATCACTTTTCTGTGTGAGATGATAGCAGTTACAGGTATTATCAAATTAATATCCATCTGATATATTGGGTGACCACTAGGGATGGGCAATTCCAATTATGTCAATTTCATTTTTTCGTTTCCCCAGTCTTCCATTTGATTCTCCACATTTCCACATCAGTTTGCAATTATTTTTTCCACAACCCAACATTTTAGCATGAATTTCTCCCAGCATATGCATGTACGGTATCCCGGTTTAGGAAAGCTTTTAATGTTCAATGCATTACTGTATTTTAATATTTTGTTGGAAGCTGCCCAGAGTGGCTGGGGAAGCCCAGCCAGATGGGTGGGGTATAAATAATAAATTATTATTATTATTACAGTGGTACCTCTGGTTACGTACTTAATTCGTTCCAGAGGTCCGTTCTTAACCTGAAACTGTTCTTAACCTGAGACACCACTTTAGCTAATGGGGCCTCCCGCTGTCACCGCGCCGCCGGAGCACGATTTCTGTTCTCATCCTGAAGCGAAGTCCTTAACCCGAGGTAATATTTCTGGGTTAGCGGAGTCTGTAACCTGAAGCGTATGTAACCTGAAGCGTATGTAACCCGAGGTACCACTGTGTTATTAATATTATTTGCCATTTGTATGGTAACATTTTTGCAAAGCTGATTTCCTCTAATAGAATACATTTCTGCGTGCTATTTTCACCAACATACACATTTTAATTCTCACATTACCATAGTATATGCATTGTTTGGGGGTGGGGGTGGGTTTAGTACACGTTACTTGTCTGGGGAACTGCACTGAGGGGAAAAAATAAGAGAAGTGTGAATTTCGAAAGCCAGCAGCATTTTGTTTCAAAAAGTGTGAATTAGGCATGTTCGCCTTTAAGTGTGAGTTGAATTGAAGCCGCCCACCCCACCCCATCTCTAGTAAACCCCTCATCCCTATTAAGGCTTTGGGTATGTCTTAAGTGGCAGCAGCAGAACTAGAGCATCACCACTGATGCTCAGAACACGTGAGCCAGTGTGGTATAGTGGTTAAGAGCAGTAGACTCGTAATCTGGTGAACCGGGTTTGATTCCTTGCTCCTCCACATGCAGCTGCTGGGTGACCTTGGGCTAGTCACACTTCTCTGAAGTCTCTCAGCCCCACTCACCACACAGAGTGTTTGTTGTGGGGGAGGAAGGGAAAGGAGAATGTTAGCCGCTTTGAGACTCCTTAGGGTAGTGATAAAGTGAGATATCAAATCCAAACTCCTTTTCTTCTTCTTCTTCTTCTTCTTCTTCTTCTTCTTCTTCTTCTTCTTCTTCTTCTTCTTGAGTTTCTACATATTGATTGGCAATGTTAAATCACATAAGGTACCCCTCACTTCCTTAGGAAGACCCGCCTTACACAGATGTTTCTGCTGCTGCTGCTGCTGTTGTGGAATAAGACGTCCCTATTTTAATCGGAGAGATGTTGGAAGGTATGATATTCAAACCATAGTTGAAAGACACATCCCAGCCAGGCAAAAGCACCGAGGAGGATACTGAGCAGAACGGTTATTGGCAAGTCCTGAACCCTAGATTGAGAGGCCAATTTATAATCCCTGTTGCAGAGGCAGGTTTTATTTTATTTTTATTTTTATTTAGCTTTTGCTGTATAAAATAGCCATGTGGGCTCTTCCCATTAATACTTGACATTTGAAAGTCATTTAACAGAATCAAGCTGTCGCATCACTGTAGATAGGTAGGTTTGGGCTAATATGCTCTAGGTCAGGCATCCCCAAACTTGGCCCTCCAGTTGTTTTGGGACTACAACTCCCATCATCCCTAGCTAACAGGACCAGTGGTCAGGGATGATGGGAATTGTAGTTCCCAAACAGCTGGAGGGCCGAGTTTGGGGGTGCCTGCTCTAGGTCTTACATCCCTGCCACTGTGGGGCCAGTGTGGAATCGTAGTTAAGAGTGTCAGGCTGGGGCCTGGGGAAGACTAGAGCAAGTACCATCAACCATAGCTGGGGTGACTGTGGTCGATCAGCCTGACACATCCATATACTGCCCAATATCCCTAACGCCAGGTAATTTTCAAACAAGTTAAAGAGCACAGGTCCAAATACGGATGCTCAGGAGAACCAGCTTCTTTAATCCCTTGGTTATGACAACTGTCCATTTATTCCTGTTCTTTAACCAGTCACAGATCCATATGAGGACCTGTCCTCTTATCATGACTGCTAAATCCTCTAAAAAGTACGTATACAATTATTTTGTGCATCATCATCATCATCATAAATTTTTATTTGTATCCCGCCCTCCCCAGCCGAGGAGGGCTCTAAATACCAGCTCTGTCATGTGCACTGATCATTATATTTATATATCTGTTATTCTGCAGATTCCAAATACGTTACATAAAATAGCAACAGATATAGGTGGGACCCGTTCCAGTCTCAATTCTGAGCTTAACAGAGAAACTGCCTTTTATACAACTTTTGAAACAACTGCTCAACAGTTTGGGTGCAGGGAGGTAGAGTCCAGGTATTCGTCTTCTCAGTGTAATGAGCATACAATGCACATAAATACAAGTACAGACTGCTGTTTTCTGAGTGGATCTCTGGTTTCAGAACATTTATTTTTTTTCACTATGATTTTGGTTGAACAATAGGTGCATTTATACGAATTTTCAGCATAATTAGAAGTTTTAGAGCAATTAGAAGGGCCTGTATCTATGACAGTCAAATACCAAAGAAGATAGTTCTCTCTCTTGCACTTTCTTTTTCTTTTTTTATTAAAACATAAAAGTTAACTTTTCATTTTCCCTGTTGGATCAAGCGAAATGTTCAGTTAACTTTCTTCTCTCTTTCAAACTATGCTGCATCAGCAAAAAGTCAGTAAGGAACATTAATTATCAAATGTGCCAGTTTTGTGACTATTAAGTACCTCATTAGATTCTGTTTTGGAAATTGCATTTATGAGCATTTTTATACAAAAAAATAATAATCTAGGCATGCTTGGCATTCTGTAACTCCACATATACAGTGTGAGATGAAGATCATCTATGCGGCTGCTGTAGCATATGTGGTTTTTGTTAAACTAAAAGCACTTCAAGCAAATTTGTTACTTTATCGCAGGAAATGTAACATTTGAAATATGAAGCTCTGTAACCCCAATCTTCTCTGATCAACATGCTCAAAGGGCTTTCAGAGGGAGTAAAATAAATGTGCAGCAGAAAAGGGTTTAAACGAATGAAAGAAAGACGGTGTGAAATGGTTTTCCATTGCGTTCTCCCACATTACAATTAAAATACCATCTACAGATTTACACCTGTCCATCCATCCATGTAAACACCTTTATGCTAATTTCTATTATACACCTCTCCCTCACGTTGATTAAATGAGCAGGTATGTATTTGGTTTTCTTTAGCAGGTATATATCTATATACATGTATACTGTACCTGGCTTTCATATTATATACAAACCTCTCACTCTTAGAGCAGAAATCCTCATACTTTTAACAAAAGGAGGAGGGGAACGAGGCAGGGGAAAAAATAAATTAAAACTGTGTTTAAAATATATCATCTGTCCTAACCTTTCCTCCATGAGGGAAAATATGCCTGGAAAAAAGATTAAATACAAATTTGCTTTGCTTTTAAACCCACTTAAGAAGCACCTATCCCATCTGTCCATATAAATTCCAATGGAAAACACGATGACATGCAATTACTAATCTCAATGTACACAGCTATGCCTCGGGGACTTGGTGGTTCATATTTTACTGTTCTGTAATCAAATACAAAACTAATGAGTAAAAATATGCTTCCCCCAATAAATTCCCAGCACCTGGACAAGCGTCTGACAGGGAAATGGAAGATGCTCACACAAAATTCATTCTGCAAAGCTATTAAAGTGTTATACTTGCCAACAAGTGTTCATTAAACAAGAATGAAGGATCTTTATGCCAGTTTCTTACCAAAGGCTTTTTAATATTTTAATGGAGAGTAAAGACTATTTATCTGAACTCTGATCAGTTAATGTTCAAATCTGTTATGAAGAAACAAGGAGTCTTTTATAATACCTTTCATAAAAATCCACTTTGCAATGCTTCAAATAAAGACTAAGCACTGTAAAAGATTATGTTGCATATAAACAAAATCAGTATCGTTTTGAAATTATATGGTTATTCCTGGAACTCTTTCTCACATCAGAAATGTGTTTTGTATATATTTTTATTTAAAGAGTGGTTTGATAAACACCCCCCATGATACAAATGGAAAAAGGGATTGGAGGTGACATCACTTTTTCAAGAGCTGGAAATAAAACAAAGCCAATTTCATGGGACAGATGAAAGACGAGTGAGAATAATAGAACCTACAAACCTAGTCCATATACCTCTTTAGGAAACAAGAGCTTAGATAGAGGTGATGGTAATCGAGAGATAATCTTCCATAAAGGAATCTGTGAGCTGCTTCTCATGTTACACTTGACATGGGTACTGAGCTGTTCTGCATAGCAGAATGCTAAATGGGGAGGCTTTTCTCTAAAAACCACTTAAGCTTCCCTGCAGGCAAACTTTAGAGGAATGTATTAATGCGCACTTTGAGTCTGTGAATTTCATAATCTTTTGTACTGTACTCAGCTCCTTGCTTCCATGTTTGGCACACCAGAGCATCAGAAAGCATTGCCAGGGGTAAGGATGGCTGGTCATTTTTCCACATGTATTATTTTATCAGTCCTGATTCTGCACTCATCTGTGGATTTTTTAAAGGGAAGAAATCCACAGGAAAATCCATATTCAGATAGCACTTAAATACGTAGTTTGAACACATTGTTTTCAGGGAGGAAAAAAAAGACAGATCTCATTCTGAAACACACATTTTCATACATATTCTGTACATTTTAGAGCCAAGAACTGCATTGCTAAATTCAGGGAAGTGCAGCATCTGAAGGAAACTGCGGTTCACATTGTATCACAATTCACAAAGATCTAATTTGATTCCCTGGCTGAAGGGCACCCTTGATGCCACTTATTAGTATGCCACAGTATGGAAGTACTACAGACTTTGAAGCATGCATTTTAGGAGCTTCCTAATCCTCTGCTAGGGGATGCGGGTGGCGCTGTGGGTTAAACCACAGAGCCTAGGACTTGCCCATCAGAAGGTTGGTGGTTCGAATCCCCGTGATGGGATGAGCTCCCGTTGCTCGGTCCCTGCTCCTGCCAATCTAGCAGTTCGAAAGCACGTCAAAGTGAAAGTAGATAAATAGGTACCGCTCCAGCGGGAAGGTAAATGGCATTTCCATGCACCGCTCTGGTTCGCTAGAAGCGGCTTAGTCATGCTGGCCACATGACCTGGAAGCTGTACGCCGGCTCCCTCGGCCAGTAAAGCGAGATGAGCGCCGCAACCCCAGAGTCGGCCACGACTGGACCTAATGGTCAGGGGTCCCTTCACCTTTACCTTTAATCCTATGCTTGTTTCCTCAATACTCCATCCTGGCTCAGACACTTAGGTGGCTCCAAGCTATGTCCCCATCTATAGAGCGGTCGCTCAATCTTGCCATTATTGGCAGCTGTGGTTTCCAAAATAAATACATAGAAAGATAGATTTGGGGATAAATACTTTGGAATTGTTCCAAAGAACAGTTGTGTGCAAACAATTAAAGCTGATGATTATGATAAAAACAATGATGGTCACGATGACACAACTTTTCTCCCAGCTGTCCTTCACTCAGGCTAGAGGTCTCTAAATACTACATGTATTAGCAACCATCTTAGAATAACCCGAACAGATCATGGAGGAAATTATGGAAAGAGAGTTGGAAATTTACGGCTTGTGAAGCGATAAGGGAAAATTTAATAAAGATGTTTTACAGATGGTATTTAACACCAACCGAAATACGTGAAATGTATAAAACAAAATCAAATTTGTGTTGGAGGTGTAACAAAGTAGAGGGGACACTCATACATGTGGTAGACATGTGATAAAATCAAAGGCTTCTGGGATATAGTGTACAAAGAAAAGGTTTAAACAAAACTTTGTTTAAAAAAACAGAACCTTTTTTTATTGGGGATACCAGACACAGATATTGCCGGAGAAAATAAGAAAATATTCCTTTATGCCACAGGAGCGGCAAGAACACTAATTGCCAAAAATTGGAAAAAAGAAATAACCCAGACAAAAAAAAAGAATGGCAAGACAAACTATTTGATTATATTGAATTGGCTAGATTGACGGAGGCAATTAGGGGTCAAACCAAGCAAAAATTCCAAAAAGAATGGGTAAAATATAGAGAATATCTTAAAAAGAAGTGCCCTCAAATTAATACTTGGACTTGCTTGGATTAATTTCTGCAGAATAATTTATGGTACTATAGTTAAATACAGAAAGATAAAGGGGATAATAATGAACTGAAAAGGAGACAGTTTACCAAAAATGAAAAAAGAACAGTGTTGAGGATGAAGGAAGTCAATTCGAAGAAAAGAAGAACAACAATGGTGAGTGTGTATGATATTTGTTTTGTATAAGTTTTCGTACGTTATCATGCCTTATTTGTATTTTTTGTTTTGTGTTTTGTGTTTGTTTGTTTTTCTTTTGATTCTGTACTATTATTTTCATGTTAAGTTTTACAAGTGTGTTTGTATGTGTTGTAAATAAACTCTCTCTCTCTCTCTGTCTAAATAAATAAAATAACTCCAACAGATTCTACTTTCTTGACCCCACTAAGGGTGGCTTTCCTACCACATTAACCCTCAGAGGGCCATATTGGGATGACCAATTAAGCATATTTCCCCACAATAAGAGTTCTTCCCGTCCCGGATTGCAGAAAGGCCGTGTACATTTCTTGCTTTAAAAATGATGCCCTCTCAACTTCTATGCAATTAGCCAGTTCCACATGTGGAATCTGCTGTTATTATGTCTAGTTATTCCCTTAAACAGAAAGCAGAGCTGACGGGCATAAATTTAAACTCACAGAACCCTCCTTTTCTAAGAACCAACTGGCCTGTCAGGGTGAGATCCAAATCCATTGCTGCTGGCCAATGTAAGAGAAGGGGAGATGATTTTTCATATTTTCCATGTCCCTGCTACAGCCCCTTGTGCTTTCCCTGAAAATATACACCAAAGAATTGGGGGTCCCATCAGAATGGATGTGGTGGCAAGGTGTACATGCAGGGGGGAAAGGTCAAGGAGAAAATTGCTTCCCATTCTCTTATGTTAACAGACAACTCTGCTGGATCAAAAGCTATTCTGCATACATATATCTCAAAGCGGGCAAATATGAAAAATCAGATATGTGTGTGTAGCAACCCTAAATCCAGGAGGTCATGAAGTCATGAGGGGAAAGCAGAATTCCCCAGAGGGGTGCTTGTGCAAACAAGCAAGTTAAACTGAACAGTCCAGAAAAGGGGGTGGGCAGGAAGAATACATACATTTATAAAAAGAAAAAAGAAAGACACCGTGAAGCAAGTAACAGAACAGGCATTTGCCAAGAAGACTGGAAGAAAGATTCAATCTCGCCCATGTTATTGATCTGGCTCAACCATCTTGCATTCAGATGCCAACCTAGACTCATTACTTGAAATTCTCCCAACTTTTTGGAATCAATTACACCAGTGCTTTTGCTCTGATACCAAACTGCAAATGGATGGCTGGCCATTAAAACTTTATACTCTCGAGTCTCAATCCGGCAAAGCATTTCAGCACATGCTTAATTTTAAAATTCCTTTGTGGCTCTAGAGGGTTGGTGCCCAATCCAAGCAACGCACATGAAAATTCATGGAAAGGTTCCCAGTGACGAGCCGAGCAATCAGATCTGGCCCCCGTTAAGCCTCTCTCTCTCTAATCAGAGCACAATACAGAACACAAACCAAATTTAAAAGCTGCATCTCATGCAAGTCTATTCAATCTTTCATGAAATCAAATCTTTATGAATACAACTTAAATTTCTCCGTTAAAAAGTGTGTGTGTGTGTGAAAAATTAAAATGACTTTCATGAATTTGCATATGTTAAATTATACAATTGCATGCACAGCTGCTAGTTTTATATATCCATATGAAGCCTCGAATGACATGTTTCGGTACTAGTTTTTAATGTCTGAAGCACAACCGACAGAGCTTTGCAAAGGCACAAAGATTCTTAGCCGATCAAAGTACATAGACTGGCTTACTTTGCACACATGGTACATTACAGCCATTGCATTTTGCTGAACTTTTACTAAATGAACTATTTGGATAGTGCCACACCTTATAAAATCCTTGAGGGTCATCTTAGCTACATGATGTTATGTTGTAAGTAACTCCTAATAAGGAAGAGATGAGAAACTTGTGGCCCTCCAAATGTTGATGCACTAAAACTCCCATCATCTCTGACTACTGGATGTGCTGACTGGGGCTGATGGGGGTTAGAGTCCAGCAACACCTGGAGGCTCCCCATCCATTAGCTAAAGATACAAGCTATGTTTTCACAGATTTTTGGACTCCATCTCCCTTCAGCCCAAGCCAGAAGGCACAAAAAGTTGTATTTAAATAGCATTCAAATGTGCACTTCAAATATACTTTTTTCTTCAAATATCTTACATTATTTTAAAAACTTCTGTCCCCCAGTTTGTCCACAGAGACTCAAGGTGGCTAAGAAACAGTAATATACAAAGAATAAAAACAAATATAATCCCAAATTCCCTCAACATACAGTCCAATCAATACATTAACAATAACCCTTAACTAACAATTTTTTCCTTTGCTTATCTGAGTCAGTGACTTAAAGATAGGCATTTCTAAACATATTTTATCAGAAATTACACGTATTTTCTCTCAAAATAGGCATTTAAAAATATTTTTAAAATGGTTTTTAAGCAGAGAACTGTGTTGGAGCATTCAGGAGGCGTTAAAGCCTGTGTATAACCAAGATCCGATCTGTACATTAGCCGGAGAGGTGCAGATCAGGTCAGTTCATATCTGAATTCGAAAATATCAAATTCCTCAAGCATTCCTCCATCTGTCCTGCTAACTGCACACTTCCCTGTGATGAAATGAGCAAATAAATCTGAACAGTGATCTTAAGCGCACAACACAGCACTTCAATGACCACTTTACCAAATGCTAGCCGTAATCTGCATTGGACTTGCTGCTTTCCAATGACTAATTTTTCATCATGTACACAGATACCGAAAGGCGACTTTTTGCTTGTAAAGGGCCTCCCTCCCTGCTTCACCCCACAGCCTTCTGCTCCGTTTGGTGTAAAGGGTAGCGTTGCATAGTGAAGCAACATGCCACGCAGGGTAAAAATTGTGCTATAAACTGTGGCTTTTGACGTAACGATTATTCAGTCCGTTGTGGAATTAAGCCTCAATGAAAAGAATGGCGACAGCTATCTGGTTCATTATCATTTTTCTAGATCTCCGTTGAAAGACTGCCTACATCCACAGTCCCAACTAAGGCATGCGTTTATGAGGTGGGAAAGCCTCTCCTCTTCACCGAGGGGAGGGGTTGTGGGCGGGAATCGCTTCCCGTGCTCACAGGGGGGGCGTGGCCAGGTCCCTTGTGTCACAGAGTCCTGGGCCCCTGTCATGCCCCCCAGCCAGCCAATTTGGTGTGGCCACATTTAAAAGGCCGCAGGCTCACGAGCTCCTCCTGTTTTGTTCCTGCTTCCTTGGATCTCCTGCCCTCCCTCCCTCTATGTCATGGGTTGTCAAACTAAGGACTGGGGGCCGGATCGGGCCCAATCGCCTTCTAAATTCAGCCCACAGACAGTCTGGGAATCAGCATGTTTTGACATGAGTAAAATGTGTCCTTTTATTTAAAATGAATCTCTGGGTTATTTGTGGGGCCTGCCTGGAGTTTTTACATGAGTAGAATGTGAGCTTTTGTTTAAAATGCATCTCTGGGTTATTTGTGGGGCATATGAATTCATTTACCCCCCCCATATAGTCCAGCCCCTCACAAGGTCTGATGGACAGTGGACCGGCTCCCTGCTGAAAAGGTTTGCTGACCCTTGCTATATGTCTTGCATTCAGCACTTGACCTTGCTATGGACCTCGGTTGGTCGCCTGTTCAAGGGGCCTGGTAGGAATTTTTTCCACGTGGCAGATTGGCACCAGCCAGTTGGTTTTTCGCCTACCTTGTAGCAAATCGTCACAACTTTGTAAGGTTTGGCGGTTAGGTATTGGAAAATGTGTTGTGTGTTGGAGGGGAAGTTGTGGCCATCACCTACCTTTCCCCTTGAAGGGTATTCCATTAAAGGAATCCGGCAGTCGTGGTTCCTGTCTGATGCCCAGGTGGTGGCTAGGGCCATGGCACGACCCTCCGGTGACTCTAGGGCAGTGGTGGCGAACCTTTTAGAGACCGAGTGCCCAAACTGCAAACCAAAACCCACTTATTTATCGCAAAGTACCCAGAGTTGTTGAACTTTCTGGGGGGAGCTGCTGACCAAAGTTTTGGGGGGGTTGCAAAAGTTGCTTTGCTTTTTTGGGGAGGGTGCCCCAAAGCTGTTCGGATTTTTTTTTGGGGGGGGGGGGAGAAATAAATGATGAATAATACCTTTACTGGAACTAACACATAATACCAACATCATGGTCTGACAAAGTGCCAAAAAAAATCAGCACAGAAAGGGTTAAAAATGAACGCTGTTACACCCAATCAGAAACAGCCACTGACACAGCAAATTGAAAAACAGACCAATCACCTATCACAATCTCCAGCTACTGGCAAAAAAAGGTTCTGGGTTCTAATAGCGGACGCAAGCTGTAGCGTGAGGGGGAGAAGGAGAACAAATGGGGGAAAACAACATGAAGAGCGCAGATGGGCCGATGGCGCACGTGGCAGTAGTGAGGGCTCTGTGTGCCAAGTATGGCACGCGTGCCATAGGTTCGCCACCACTGCTCTAGGGGAAAGCTTCCAGTTGATTTGCATCAACAAACTCCCCCTACAGGTTAATAACCCTTGTGTGCGACTCCCTACAGAGCGGGCAGGAGTCAAGTATAGTCCGTTTGGATCCAGTGCCTAAGCCAATACTACTCACATTCTGTAACCAATAAAGTTGTGGCCTTTTTTTAGCCCATTAACCTAAATTACTTGTGTCCATGTGTCTTATTTCTTTTTTCTTTTTTCTTTTTAATTTTTATTAAGGTTTTAAACAAAGAAAAAAGAAAAACAACACACACACAAAACAATAACAATAAAAACACAAAACATAACAATTAAAAACAAACTCTCTTTTCCATTTCCAATTTTAAATTACTTATTTTCTGGACTTCCTCATACCTCCCTCTTTTGTATTCCAATCCACATTATTTATCCAGCAGTTTCTTTATATAACTTCACTTTTTTAAACCTAATCCTTACTCTTAATGTCATATAGCTTTAAATTTTTCCCTTTTATTATCAAATTTCCATTTCTTTAAACATCTTTAATCTTAATCTTTAATCTTAATCTATCCTTATCTTTAACCTGTACAGCTGGAAACCACTTATTTTCAATCCACCATGTGTCTTATTTCATCACAAAGCGGGGAGCGGGGCCTCAACTCACAAGTGAATCCCCTGAGAGCAACTACCACTTGGTTGATCCAGGGATCATCAGGCAATGTGAAATATAACCCTGAATATCTTTGGAAGCAGAGCAGGCCCTGCTGGAACCACATAACACCGGTCCTAAAGGATTTTCACTGGTTCCCAGTACGTTTCTGAGCACAATTCAAAGTGTTGGTGCTGACCTTTAAAGCTCTAAATGGCCTTGACCCAGTATACCTGAAGGAGAGTCTCCACCTCTGTCGCTCAGCCCGGACACTGAGGTCCTCCTCCAAGGGTCTTCTGCTGGTTCCCTCACTGTGAGAAGTGAAGTTACAGGGAACCAGGCAGAGGACCTTCTTGGTAGTGGCACCCTCTCTTCAAATGTCAAGGAGATAAAGAATAACACAACTTTTAGAAGACATCTGAAGGCAGCCCTCTTTCAGGAAGTTTTTAATGCTTGATGTTTTTATTATGTTTTTAGATATGCTGTAAGTTTCCCAGAGTGGCTGGGGAAACCCAGCCAGATGGGTGGGGTAGAAACAATATGATGATGATGATGATGCAAACCCGCTTTTCAATATAAAACAAATTCTTAAATTTCCCCGGCAATGAAAACATGCACATTAGTCTACATGGGTATAATAACATTCATTTGTTGTACAAAAAAGGATATATTAAAGAGGTGTACTTCTGCAACACATAATCAGTTTGTGACATTCATTAACAGAAGGTGTGGTGAGGGCTGCTGGTTTGAAATAGGAGAGGGAAACCAACAGGAAACCAATGGCCTTCCATATATGGACTCCTGCTCAGCCTGAATGGCTAATGGCCAGGGATGATGAGAACTGTAGTCCAAAAACATCTATATAAGTTACCCATCTCTGCCTTAAAACAAATGCTTAGAAAAATCCAGAGAGAATAGGTCTGTCCACAGCCATGCTTCCTAAATGGAGCCTCGTTTTACAAAGGTAGCATATTGACAAAAATCAGACAGGATGAGCACCCATTTCATGACTGGCTACTTCATTTCCTTCTGCAAAAATAAGCTGGAAAAGAAAGCTTGTCAGTAGAGACAGGCCTACAAAATTATCCTTTCTGTCTCCCTCTCTTTCTTCCCTCCCTGATTTTTCAATGACCCTGAAATATTGAGGGTTTTTTAATACCAAAGCTGGAACAAGATTATAGTTGTCTTTGTACGTTACCTTATAAGGAACATTTTGACAGCACTAGATTGCATTCATAAAAACTAATGAAGATTCCTCCTTAATACGCATTGCTTTCTTCCAAGTTTGGACTTGAAGTGACAACATTACAGAGAAATACCCTGCAGGTTTTTTATTTAAATTGCGTCCTATAAAACAATGTCCCCTTGTCAGTCACCACTAATTCAGCAGAAGTTAACCAATAAATCTCTCCAAAGGCCAGCAAAGCGCTTAACTTGGCACATCCCTAATAAAATTAGGAATGTGACTTTATTACATGAACCTTACGTAGATTTGGCCAAGATATTAAGATTTTTGCTTATGGCAACAATGGCTAATGTGGATTGGTATTTTCATTATAACACACCCCACAGCATTTCCAAGTTACGTCTCAGGTTTCCAAATTGGACAATATTTTTCAACGGCATTTGACACATCGCTAGGTGCTGTGGTTGAAACTCTTGTCGCCAAAGCTGCACACAATTTAGCGTACTTAAAGGCAGTAAAGACTTTCGGTAATGCTAATTCTGCTGCATAAATGAGGGCAAATTAATTAATACTTCTATTAACGTAACCTGATTTCACTTTGTTCAAGCAGAGAAGCACTTATAAGCTTTTAACCCAAGCTCAGATATATTGTTTCAGCTCAAGGCAATTTTGCAAAGCGATTTATACAGGAATAAGCTGAAAATGCTGGTGGGGGGGGGTAGGGAGGAGGGAAACAGCAAGATTTGGAGGGTCTGAAATGCACACTTAGCAGTTTCCCCCATTTCCACAGGAAAAACATATTTGCGAAATTGTTGGACGCTCTGCGCCCTCGGAGCATTTTATTTTAGAAAATCCTGTCATATTGTGCTTATAGTTCTTTTATCTATTCCCCACTTTCTCTCTCGTACCATCTCTTCCCTTCCATTTATAACACCTCTATTCTTTCCCCCTCTTTTCTCTTCTTTCCCCACCCCTCTCGTTCCACCGCCTTTCACTTTCTCCCTTTGTTATGTATTGTTCAAACTATAATACCATCGGCTTTGTAGACAACAAGATAGTGGTCTCACCTGGCACCAGGTGAACACTGTAGAAGCCAATGGCCACACCCTTGGCATAGCACAATATACGCAGGACATTGTCCCTCCTCCACGCAGAGCCGTTCTGTTTAACATGCAGCAATCTCAACCCTGCAAGACTATCAAGTCACGGAAGTTCACCTTATGATAAATACAACATAGCATGAAAAAGAAGTATGATTGATGCCCACTAAGCAGACTGTTTATCAGACAAACTCATTTTGCCAACTTTGACATAAACTGTTAGTTTTCTTATCGGACTGACATTGCGAGACCAGCACCTTGGTGGAAAAAAACTTCCCAAGAACTCTTCAATGACCTCTAAACAGCGCTATCTTATCATCATCTGACTTTCTACCACAATAAATCATTCACAAATAGGTTAAAAGAAAAGCTGATATTAGAAAATGGATTTATTTTCCATAGCTATAGACTTCAAAATGTGGCAAGACTTTCGGTGGAACTGGGTGATGTTGATAAAGTGTGCAAGGAGACTCTTTGCTTCCACTGATGTTTTGTGAGACAACTGTCTAATGTGATTTGTTATCTCCCAGAGAGAGAAAGAACTTGATTACTATCCATTGGGCCCTTATTAATTGTTTTGTGGGCACTTGGTAATTTGATTCTTAATACCGAACTTGGAAGCAGAAAGAGATTCCTTGGCCTGAACCCAGTGAGGTCTTCTACAAATGGAAAATGTCCTTCTATTCAGAGAAGGGCAGCTTCTGTTCTCAGAAGAAGCTTGGTTCCAGAATGGAAGGGAAGAGTTATATTTTTGCCTCTACCCTACAGCTCCAAAATATAACTCTCATGCAGATCCAGAAAATCCTCTGGAGGAGATCGGGGTGGGGTGGTGCTCAACCACTCATGGAGTTCTGGATCAAACTTTGAAAATCACATAATGATCAGGAACCTTTGAAAATCAGGAGACGGCCTGTGCACCTTTAATAGTTGTGATGGAAGCTATACCTGCTGAAATGCCCTATTAAAGGTACAAGAGCCCTTTCCTCTTCTCCATTTAGCAACTTCCCTGAGAAGTGTAACATTCTCTCTCTTTCTCTCTGTGTGTATTTCACAGTAGACAGAAGTAATGATTTCTGAGCTAAGCATACACAAAGCAATATTCCCAGATTATGTTACTGTACATTGGACTTGCAGTTAGGGTTCCTAGGACTGAAATTCTTTGATTTTGAATTTCAGAAGACTGACAACTGCAAGCTTTCTGGCAAGACATCTTGCCCATGACAACCCATCTTCCTCTACAATGTGGCAGCCATAGGAAAGTTTGCACGCTCAGTCCTCAAGGTTCAACAGTGAAGCCCAGCAATTCTGGCCAGTGCCCTGCGTTTACTGAGCTTGCTTCCCTTAACATGCTCCAGAAATGAACTCTCTGCTTTTGCACTGGGTTTCCTTGGCAGCTGAGTTGGCGTGACCTGAAAGTAGGAAATGAAAAACAACAACAGGAGTAACCCTATTCACATGTTGCTCCCTGTGAGGGCTATGTGAGGAGGATGGAGCGGGGCTTTCTTCCCCTTAGACTGCATGCCAGGCCAGCGCAGATGCATGGAAAGTAGTGCCTTTGCACAAAGAGTTTTGTGCTTCTACAAATCAACTGGAATGCATTAGCTAGGCAACACTGCTTCCTCTTTCCCACGTAACAGCCCTAAATATATGCAATGTGTGAAGAAGGCTGCCATCATAGACTATTACTTCAAAATGTTGTCCTCATTTTATGATTCCATGTGCATTGCAACAAGAAAGCACCTCCACCTGGCTGTTAGGCACACCTGTTCAAATGCACTGTTGTGCCAAATCTGAATGGGAAAAGAGTGACATGAGTGTGGGACAAAAGAGCATGGTCAGGCTGTCCCCTCAATACTAATAATAATAATAATAATAATAATAATAATAATAATGTATTATATTGTATTAGGAGAGGGTGAACATGCTCATGGAATCTGTCACCTATTCCGGTTCAGTCCTAAAGTAGATTCAATATGAAAATTAAAGGGAGAAAGGTAATTTCATTTGCTTTCTGTAAGCCAATAAATGTTCCTGACATCCCTTCATTTGGTTGACATCTCACACTACTTTTAAGGGCCGAGCTAGATGCTACAGAGGATGTGTCACTGCCACTGTTTCTACTGTAACCTCTAGAAAAACAAAAGCACTCTGTGAAAGTACCATGTTCAGCATTTCCCTGCCCCCTGTAAATAGTAGCCAAGGAACTGAAGTAGGGACACGAAAACACAGAGAGAAAGTTCTTGGATCCGCCTCTAAAATATATCATTTCAGAATGAAGTTCTGAGATGCTTCAGTAGATTTCGCCAGACATAATCACTCGAGAGGGGTACTCCATGTGATTAAAGGCGCAAGAGTGTCACAACATTGGCTCCAACCCTCTCCGCCTATGCAACACCCATGGGTCCACTCTGACATCCATGCGCTGAGCTTTGACATTTCCAGCAGGAAAACATATGCACACACTAGGCTTCCACACACTAGATGGAACTCTGATTTTGCAGTTCTTGTAGAAGTTTGCATATGTAGGCTTCCTTGTTGCAGATTTCCATACCCAACATGTGGACACTGGGGATGACCTGCAAAATTGAGGGGTGGGCAAGTGGTGCAAGCTCTGTTGCCCTGAATGAGAGTCATGCATGGAAGGGGCTTAACTTCCAGGCTCATCCTGAATCACAATGTTCAGTTTCACCCATTTAGTCCTTTTCCCCTAGTGGTCTTTTGCGAACGCATAACACCCAATGGGCCCTTGGCTTACACAGACTTTGTGCTCTTCACTGTTGTTGTGTGAGTGATTGAAGAATTATACCAGAGTCATTTCCCCCTACACGCCTGATCCTTTTTCCTTTCTTTCTCCAAAACTGAACATGAAAGTGGTAGCCAAGGAGGCCTCACTCTGAACTCAGCATGGCCTTCGAGTCATTTTTACAAATATGGCTGCAATAGAAGCAAAAACAAATCTTGGTTTACTGCTGAAAAACACTCGTTGAGTAATATAAAGCAAATTTACTTCAATTTACTACAGATAATCATATGCAGATCTGGAGTCTTTATATTTTACAGCTCG